GTCCTGCTGGTTAGAACAGGGTCGCGTTTTCATGCCCTGCTGGTGAGAACAGGGTCTTTTTTAGACAAAGTATTTGTCTAGAACAGGATCTTACATTAATGAATTGTTTGGTGACAGGGTATAAATTTCTGAACTAGTCTAGAACATATAGGTCTCTATCTAGAACAAGGTATACATTTTCCGAGCGTGTCTAGAACAGGTATACATTTTCTGAGCGTGTCTAGAACAGGGTATTGTTTTTCAATATTTCTGTTTAGAACAGGGTATGTTTTTCAATGTTTTCTGGTTAGAACAGGGTATGATTTGGCAAGTGCTGTCGGCACAGTTATACCCGAAAGGATAGTCAGTAACTCCTCCGGGGTTAAGACAATGAGCCCCTAGACGCTCATTTTACACACATGCATGTACGAAGAGACACTACCTCATTTACATTAGAACAGTCACCATTGGCGGATCTATGATCGGCACCCCCTCATGCATTCACGCGGTTATAATCTTTACAAGAAAAAAAACATTGTGCCTTTTCATCTTTTTTCATGATGTGTTGCCTTATTTCTCAGCAAAACAATAAAAAGTAATCTTAGCGCTAGCTCTTTTTTTCGTGGAGAAAGGGTACATTTTCGTGAGAAAATTATGACCGCTTGCTTCTAAAAAACAAACAGTTTCAATGGAGAAAAAGTAACTTTCGATGGAAAACTTATAAAACCTATTTCTTTGCAGGTATGCAGCAGACTATATTGCTAGTAAAGACAGAATTCAACGATTCTCGCGCCTGCATGACTGGTTCAAAGTTGGGGTTTTAACATTGAGAGATCTGAAAGCGTTTTTAGCGGTTATTCTCAATATGGGTATCATTAAGAAACCGGTTATAACCGAATATTGGAATACAAAGTTTGCTAGCCAATCAACAAAATGGTTTAGAGACATGTTTTCAAGGAACCGGTTCCAATTGATTTTGAAGTTTTTTCATATAACTAACAATGATATGATTCCTAACCGTGATGATCCACAGTATTCCCCGACCGGAAAATTTCAATGCTTCGTTGATTTGTTTAATGCCAAATCTAAACAATATTATACACCAAATCAATCCTTAAGCATAGACGAAAGTTTAATAGGAACACGGGGCAGGTCAATAATGATTCAATATATACCCTCAAAGGCAGCGAAATTCGGTGTTAAATTATGGGTGCTTGCTGAATCAATAACGGGATACATTGTTCATCTTAATGTGTATAAAGGAAAGCGTTATGACCCAACCCCTGCCGGAATGTTACAGGGAAGTTACGTAGTAAATTCACTTTTAGACTCGTGCAATTTTTTTAATAAATACTACCACGTTGTCACAGACAGCTTTTTCACGTCACTTGATTTAGCAAAAGAACTACTGCGGAAAGGGACATTTTTGACTGGAACTTTACGTAAAAATCGTGCCATGCCAAGCTCTATAAAAAACCCGACAATAGATGAAAACGAAGCTAAGTTTTTAAGACAAGGACAGTTATTGCTATGTGCGTATAAGGAAGCTAGGCGTAGGAAACCTGTCCGTCTGTTATCCACTGCATGTAGAGCCGAACTTAATAATAACGGGAAACCAAAAATGATTGAATATTACAACACAAAAATGGGAGGAGTAGATCTAGCTGATCAGCTTGTCAGCGCATATGTCGATGATAGAAAAACTATGAAAGTATGGAAAAAAATTGTATTCAATCTACTACAAAGAATGGTAACTAATGCTTATATACTTTATAAACAAAATAGTGATGCACCACGTCTCTCGAGGTTATCATTTCTGCAAAGTATAATTGAGGATCTCGCACAAGAGCATCTTTTATCACGTCAGCAAAGACTCCCTAATCGTGAACTAAATAATGCGCGCATACGACTCCGTAAGGTCCCCGACGGAAAAGAAAAAGATTGTAGCGGTTGTTCAGACAGAAACGGGTGGAATGGGAGAAAGAGAACGAGAACTGTTTGTGTTAGATGTGGAAATGGACTTCATAAAAAATGCAAACATAATCATGTATGTGTGGAAGAACAATGAATATATCTAAAATTGTGAAATCTCTCTATTTATTCGCCATGTATATGCTAATGACTTAACCCCCCCCCCCCCCCCCCACCCACCCACACACAAAAAAAAAAACAAAAACAAAAACAGAATCTGTCTGCACTATGTGCGAAAGAAAAAAATCCAAACACCAAACTTATTGCAAAGCTGTACAAAACATTTGAGTCGTTAATAATATCATGCAAGTAAAAGAAACAAATGGACTATCGATAGACAAAAGTGTTTCTAAAGAATAGGAAATTGAATGGAAATGGGGAATGTGTCAAAAAGACAAAAACCCATCCAGCGGGACCACTTACAAGTCTTCATTGAATAGTGAGAAACAGTGAGGTAATTTTCGAGACAAACAAATAATATCTGAACCAAAAATTAGCCATAGATATAAGAAGATGTGGTATGAGTGCCAAAGAGACAACTCTCCATCCAAGTCAAAATTTATAAAAGTAAACCATTATAGGTCACAGTACGGTCTTCAACACGGAGCCTTGGCTCACACCGAACAGTAAGCTATAAAGGGTCCCAAAAAATTACTAGTGTAAAACCATTCAAACGGGAAAACCAATACGCTATTTTTGAAATGCAACGCCAAGTGGAAGTGGCAAGTGCGCTCTTAGGTGGCGGGAGATCGACGTCACAATTCTGTATTGATGACGGCGTTGGTAACGTCGCTAAAATAACATCGGCCTAAAATCGGCCCTCTGGCACTGAACGTAGTATGTACAGATCGGCCCAAAATCGGCCCTCTGGCATACAATGGGTTAAATGCATGTTTCAGTTGGCCTTTAAAATTCCCATCTGTATTCTGTGAATACTACGTTAACCTTTTTTTCTTTGAATGTCAATAAAGTATATATATTATAATAAACGAAATACACATTTACAAATGAATAAATGATTTTGGAATCTTAACTTGCAATGTACGCTTTTATAATACAGTGTGAATTATCATGTGTACCTCAAAATCGCCAGAATGAAAAATCTACAATTGATAAAACTTTGGCTAACATCGTGGCTTCTTGGTTCACATTTTCGTTGAACTGCCGAACATTACCGTCGTCACCCGAGTGAAGTTTGCCTTCCTGGCTAATCGTGCTAATAACATATTTTGTTTAGCTAAAATCTGCTAGTATGATTTCGGTTTTCACGTCGCCTGACAATGGCCCACTTAATAATGATTTTTCACTTGGAAATACGTGTAGAAATATCACATGAAGACTTTGATAGACAAACATGGCTGTGGGGCTTGGAATGTGTCTTATAAAATTTAGCATAAACATAAGTTACTTGCCTTGGTACGTTTCTAAGTTTCTCTATAAGTCATATGCCAACTATGTTTGTTTTATAGGACTATTGTACAGTGAACGTGCTAATTGATAGGAGTAAATTCATCTAGATCTTGTTTTCATTGTTATTTGACCAACGTTAAGTTTTCGTTCTTGTGTCATTTTTCCAGGAATAAAAAAAAAACAACTAAATATTTGGTCTATTTCATAATTGTTCACTTGACTTGGCCTTTGAATAGTATGATTTATTGAACAGCAAATTTTTATGTTAAGGTATATTGTAAATGCAGTTGATATAGGCAAAGGATCAATTGTATTTGATCTATTAATTCATTTTTCGTTTTTTATGTTTGTCTTACAAGGCTTCGTCTAACCTTGGTTTCAATTTTATGGCTTATTAACCACATAGTTTATTGCAAATACTTCCAACCACAGGTTAACTATATTTTGTCTAGAATAACTATAAGGTGTATATGTCAGTCTGCCAGGGGTCACTTGACCTTATCTCAATTTGATGATTTATTGATCAATGTTGTTTTTTGCGTACTTCGGTCAGTTTCCACTCATTTCATAGAGTTACTAAGTAACTACATTTGGCCTATATAATCGTAGTAGTTGATGCATCTCTGTCCAACAGGGGACATTTGACCTTCACTTCAATTTCATGTTCCACTGATTCACATAAAGTTTCGACATTGGTTTGTTTAAAAAGACCGAATTTATAAGATCGGTTTTTTTTTATCAGAGAACCCTTGTTAGTTTGATACTTTTAATTTGACCTTTATCTTATAGACATTTACATATCAGTCGCGCAGATCAGATTTTGTTTTTCGTGTTTATACTTGTAAACGTATGATACAAATGTGACAATCAAAAATAATATGTTGAAGAAAATCTAGAGAAAAATACGAAAAGACGGACAATCGTCCATAAAACAAAAAACAAAAAACTCAAGATAAAGAACCCGAACTTCATGTAAAACAGTGGTTGCTCATGACACAAAAACAATCCGTTCATTATTTTTATTCGGAAATTAGTTATAAACAAGAAAAGAAGGACGGGTTCTACGATAGATGGAACATTTTTAGAATTGTTTTGCTTATAATAAAAATAGCTTATACACGTTCATGTGTTTTAAGTTTGATATCCATTTAGTACTGGTGTATATTAACATAGTGGGTGATATATACACTTAACATAACCAAAACTAACGTTAATAATAATAATAGTGTTTATGAAATATTGTAATTTGCGTATACAACCTTTTTAATTGATATCGTTAATAACTACTACATTTTTAACCTAAGAACAAGAGTATAGATAACTGTAAAAATGCAATTGTTTGAATAAAAAAATAAACTGTTCGTTTGAAAAGGTTTCCCTCCATAAATGACCGAGTGCATCGTATTGAATGTTGGGAAGACATTTATGTTGTAATAAAACACATAAGGTGTCAATGTCACCAGTTACAATTCATAGGGTTAATTACTTGTACGTTTCCGATCACAATATACCGTTAACCACAATTTCCCGTAGCTTTCTTGTTTAGGAGTACTAGAACAAAAGACCATATTTAATTGCTGCATCCTTATTATTAGCGTTCTGACAACTGAATTATAAATGACGGGTGCTAATTCATCAAAAAAATTCATCAGCCACGATTGACCGTATATAAAAGGAGAAAGATGGTAACCGACAAACCACAAGTAAATCCAGAATCATCTTGAATTGTCAAATATCTTAGGGTAAGTAATTTCCTATGTTTCCAAGATATATGATAAAATTATTATTGGAACAAGATTTTTTCTTCTTTTATTGTTTGAAAAGAAAACTCTCATCTTTTTAACTGTTTTTTCCAATCTTTTATCAGGCTATAGTTTTTTCAAAGCTCTTCCAATTCTTTAAAATTTGGCAGTGTATTTTTTTAAGTAATGCTTGAATCGAATATATGGCCATCATATATAGCTACTAGTATTCAATTTCGCATTTCAGATAAAGACGAAAATGTTGAGTTCGGTTGTAGTCGCTACTCTCCTAGCCTGTGTCTCTGCTACATTCTACAAAGGTAAATTAAAAACTACATGCTTTGTCAAAATCATAATTGTTTTATCTCAGAGATAATATAGATTCATGGGTTAAAATATGTCGTAATTGAAATACATACAGTAAATATTCTTCGATTGCAAAACGCGGATTCTATTTATATTTGCTTTATATCTAAATGGAATATTAACCTATATTATGAGTACAAAATGATAGTGAGAAAAAATATATGGCAATCAGTTCTGTATTGGATTTATTTTGTTTTTGTTTTGTTTAAATCTGAGACACTTTTAGAAGTTAAAAGAGGTTGTACCTATTTCCCCTACAATTGTCCCACTCACATTTAAATTCAGAAACTTTTCAAAACATAATGAAATTTGAATATTAAAGAGTTTATAAAATATACTTATTTTTTTCTCAACAATTTTTTGCATTTTCTGAAAATCAAATGATAGTCAGCGCTACATATTGCTGTTTGAGACATTTATGATACAAATTAGAATATTGCAAAGTTCACATGATTTCTGTATAAGAGCTACTTATTCAGGGTGAAGAAAATCATGATACAATGTTTTTGTAAAATTTTGCATCGAAAAATATGTTTAACCTATCAAAGTCGATACAAAGCTTTACTTTTGACAGGACTTTGGTTTTGGTTAAGAATATCAATTTATATAATTTTTAGGGTTAAAAACTCAAATGTGCCAATATCTATCACAACTGAAATTTACAACTTGTTTTTGAACCCAGGTAATGAATTGTGATACTGTGATTTTTTTGGGTAAAAATAGAAAGTCTTTTTTGAAATGTTGTGAAACAAATTCAGGGAAAATTTCACTTACCACCATTTTCTTTCAATTCGAAACTTTGTCTCAAGCACCTGATAATCATTTGATTGGCGATTGCTGTTTCGATGCTGTCACCTACCCTCCCCCTTAACGTACGTCCTGTTTCTGGACTTGTTCGTGCATCCTGGTTCCCCGTAGTGTAATACAAAGCCGTTTTAAATATATGTTAATATATATACTTTAGAACATTTATAACGATTACTTAAAATTGTAGGAGGTTTTGGACCTCAGTCTGGATATCAGAAATTCGGAGGGTATGGACCAATGAACTCCAACATTGGCATGATGGGATATGGAAATCAGTACGACATGTTCAATGGTAGATATCCAAGTGGCGGAATTGGCGGATTTCAGAACCGCGGTGTAATGGGTGGATACCAGAAAGGTGGAATCGGAGGATATTTCAAAGGTGGAAATGGTGGATATCAGAAAGGTGGAATTATAGGACATTTCAATGCAGTAAATGGTGGATATCTTAAAGGAATGATGGATTCTGGATTATATCCATCTGGGTTTGAAGGATGGAACAATCATGGCGCTGTTTTAGGAATGGGGATGGAAGGTTTCGGAAGTTATCCAATATTTGGAAACAACGGATTCGGAAAAATTGGAGGTGCATATGGTATCAAAGGATTTAAGAAAGGTTTGTTATTCTTCATTATTTACATCTTAATTATTAACTAAAAAATAAATATTATTAGACAAATAGACTGTACATAAAATTAATAATTTATTTGTGTCGAGCTTGTAGAACGAGACATAGCGATACTACATTCCGTCGGCGTCGTCATCATTTAGGGTTAGTCTGTTGTTTAAGTTTTTTTAGACATCAATACTTCGTCAATTTTCCTTTTATGAAACTTGAACAGAAGCTTTTTCATGATCAAAAGACCGTATCCATGCAGAGCATAATTTGGATTTTTTTTATTTTTCCTTATTTTCGGATGAATATCTTAGTTATTTTTTTCATCTAGATACAGTCTGGGGTTAAATTTAAAATTTGTTCGAAACTTCATAGAATTATATGAAGTTTTGATGGAAACTTTTGATGATTAAGAAATAACATTACATCTGAATCAAATTTTAAAGTATATTTTTATCGTTTTTGAGTCATTTTCAAAAATAATGGACTACGATGAAAATAGTGTATATAATTCTAATAACAGTTATACAGAATACATCTTATGATTAATTCTCCTTTTTTGTTAATTGCAGGAAGCTATTAAATGAAACACGAGAAAGGATGAAGACACACCGAGACTGAAGACAACAGAATATTCGAGAAAATACTCAATTATTTATGTTTATTTTTTATAATAAATATTTTGATCTCATTTAAAAGTTTAGTTAGAAAATTAGAAAATAATTGTAAACAAAGTAACTGATTTCACAAGTTCCGCAGATCCGCATGAAAGACTACATGTCAGTACCCTTCTATAAAGTAGAAAAACTATGAGCAGAGATAAAAAAAAATCACATCCCGCTTCCCAATATGGGAATATTCATTTTTCTCCTGCGTTACCACCCCTTCACCTTTTCCACTTTATTCGGATAAAAAAATTACAATGACATTATATAAATAAGAAAGACCTAAGTAAGTTCCATTGTAAGGTAATTGTTTAAGGAGGATTATCGGATAAAAGATGTCTTCTCTTTTTATGAAAATAGCAAAGTCTATGTTTTGCTATGGTTAATCCAAAAATTCCTTTTTATCTAAATAGAATTGGAGGTCCACAATGCCATACGATACCGATGATGTTTGAAAGTTTAAAATGAAATCCAGTCTCAATGTAAGGAAGAGTTGCGAACACAAAGTTCGACGGACGGACGAAGAACAAACGCACTGACTATTAAACACAACGATGACTGGACACAGTAAAAAGTCAAATTATACGAAAGTTGAAAGGGGTTTATATATATTATTAGTGGCCGCTGTTGATAAACTAGCAATTGATAGTAAACAAGTAACGCATTTTATTTTTAATATACTTGTGTAAGTCTTACACAGAAAAACACGAAAATAAGTGTAATTTTCAGAAAAACAAACACAAGAATAACGGATATTATAATTAAGGGAGAGGACAAGGATTTTAGAATTAAGGGAGAGGACAAAAAAAATTGAAGAATTTATTCTCTCCCGAATATTCGGAGTACAAAACTTGTGCTCGACATACCAAATCCTGCATTGCGGTCATAAAATTTTGGAGTACGATTATCGTACTCCGACTCAGAATTCAACAAATCAAAAGGCTGGATTTTGTGTTTCGAACAAACATTTTGTACTCGTAGCCCCAGTAAATTGATTGGTTTATTTCTGAGTCTGAGTATGATAAGTATTATACTTGTGTAAGTCTAACACAGAAAAACACATAAATAATTGTAATTATAATAAAACAAAAAAATGTACGGATTTTTTAAAAAAAGGTGAGGGCCAACAAAAATTGTCCTGTCCAAAGTACCTGTGGAAATGATTACATCGGCTTACACCAAGATCCATTATCTATTTAAATTGTTTAGATATAGTTTGCATGGCCTGTCAGAAGTAATCCTCTTGTTTTTGTTTTCTTTTATATTCAACCCACATTTACTTGCAATTCAAATAACGACAGATGAAAGAAACTGATCAATAAATTTGGTTGGTAAAGACAACTAAATACATTGCAGGTCTATTTGTACACTATTTATGCACTAACAGGCATCAACTTTTATTTTTCATTTCATCAGAAATATTTGTGTACCTTATCTTCTTTTGAAAATTAGTTCTGAAAATATCATCGGCTTTTGAAACATATACTGTAGGGTTGGTTATTGTTGTCGTTCGTTGCTGTCTTATTGACGTATACTCGGAGTACAAAATTTTTGATCGAAACACCAAATCAAATAATTTGATTGGTTGATTTATGAGTATGAGTACGATAAATCGTACTCAATATTTTGTTTACCGCAAGGCCTGGTAAAGATTTAGAAGAACGATTATCTGCCTTATTGAACACCATTTGTATTCTACAGTGTCCTAATATTATGATGGGATATAGTCTGGAAGGTGTGGACCAAAAGCGTTTTTTTTTAATCTAGCAAATAAGAACGTAACAGCTTTCAAAATAGATAAACTAAAGGCCATAAACCATCTTAGACAAGTAGGCGAAGAGGTCTCATTCTTTGTTTGAAGTTTTGCCGTTTCCATATATAATAATGTTATGATAAGGTCTTTTCGATTGCATTAACAACTTGTTTGAAACCTGAGACCACATCCGGGTTTTGGTGGGGTTCTTGTTGTTGAGTCTTTAGTTATCTATGTTGTGTTTTGTGTCGTTTTTCGTATTTTGCCATAACATTGTTTGTTTTCGATTTATGAGTTTCAATATCTCTTCTCTTTTATAGGACCTTAAGTTTTTTTTTTCCTTTCTTCCATGTTTTATGTTGATTCTAGCTTTGTGTAAAGTTTAAATGAACATAATCAAATCATCTTCAAAGAATAGCTCCTCCAACCTTTGGTCAAGGAATAAGAAATCCCCTCAGTCCCCTTAAAAATCTTAATTATGATTTGTTCACCATACACTTTTTTATCTGGTATATATATATATGTTGATTTTGTTGGTTACATGTATATGTACACACGTCTTGGTTGTCTCATTCTTCTATTGAACGTTGTCTTGACGGTGAAAATAGAGCTTTTTTTTTATATACATTTACACTCTTTTCTTCTCATTGCCCATATTTTATTATTATTGATAGAACGTCTAGTGCCTGTGATGATTCATATCATTGTATAAAGTTCGTTGATAAAATATATATCTTTTACGAAGTTTATCTCAGAGGTGTTCGAGATTGCTGTAATAATGGGACCAGAACTATCCCGCAATGCATTGTACACTTTTCATCAATCAAAACTTTTTAGCTTTGTGAATTTTTTCATAGTGTATACAACCAGTAAAACACACAGAAAGAGTTGTGCTTAAGAGAGTATAGGCGGAAAGAAAAAAAGATTCAAATAACAAGAAAGCTTCATTTTCTAGGAGTATAATTAGAGCAGAATTCCTATATGTTTCAGCAAAATAATTATGAAGTGTAAAACTAAACAAAGAATCAACTCTATTAACTGGCCAAGCATACAATACAATTAGAATGGTTTTAACATATCAATATATGTAAATCGTTGCTAAGTTTGTTAAACTAGCCCCGACTTAAACTGACTTACCAGATTATTCCTGTGTTATATTTTGACGTGATGTTGTTTTTTGTGTATGCTCATTTTAAAACATATACCATATTTATATTATCCCATGTTCTTGAACGTCGTCAGTTCTATTTAAACTGTTACAGAAGCTTTCGAAGATTGTTGTCTGCTTAATTCAAAATTGGTCAGATGAAACATGAAACATCTTGATTTCGGTTTATACCTTAAAACAGGTGTACACATGAATCGTATATTCTGAAAAGAAAAATATGCTGCCTTTATCATATATACGCACTTTTGAACTTTTTAGCTTGTTTTATAGATAGGTAATATATGCTGCGAGTAGAATTTATCCCGTATCCTGGTCAATAGATTGTCATTCTCCTTGGTGACCTTTTGTCACAAATACTGAATATCTAAAGTCTAAAACGAAACATATCAGATATAAAGAGAGGAGTGAAGATACTACGGGGGCAATCATAACCCATAAGACAAAGAAAAACAGACAACTCCATGACCAAAAGAAAAAAAGCCGAAGTAGTAAACTCAATTCACTTCCAGCATTATATTTCAAAAAAGAGACCGACAAATGCGAGAGTGCAAACAATGAAATTCACATAAAACCAAAACATAGTGAGACTAGTTCAACTACAGGACAACAAACTTCTTGCTATGCAGACATCTCTCGTCATGCGATTCTAAAGCCGTGTCCAAAATTACGTCTAAAAACTCGATTACAAGTAAACTCAAATGTAAGAAAAATTATATAAAGGATTATGACGGAGTAAATAGTTAGTTGAAATACCAATACACCGTAATGATCAACCTGTTCAGAATTAGATTTTTGCTTGTGGTGTGTCGATCTCCATCGTTCTTCTTCGCATCCTTGTCAGAGATGTTACTTACATTGTAGAGAATAAGATGCTATCGACTCGTGTCAACTAATTTACGCAAACTCTATCGACTTGGGCAGAAGTTATTTGACTGAACAAGAAAGGGAAGTTGACAATAGATCTGAAATCCTTGATTGTCATCAATTTTAATTTGAGTCGTCAACCCGTGTCGAATCTATCCCATCGAACTAGAGATAAAGGATACTACAGATACAGTTAAGTCTGCCTCATATCTTGACTTACATCTAGAAATTGACAATGATGGTCGGTTGAAAACAAACTTTACGACAAAAGAGTTGATTTCAGCTTCCCAATTGTGAACTTTCCATTTCTATGTAGCAACATTCCAGCAGCGCCTGCATACGGAGTATACATCTCCCAATTGATACGATATTCCCGGGCTTGTATTTCCTATCATGATTTCCTTGATAGAGGATTGCTGCTCACAAGGAAGCTATTAAACCAAGAGTTCCAAATGGTGAAGTTGAAATCATCCCTTCGTAAATTTTACGGACGCCATCACGAGTTGGTTGACCGTTATGGAATAACCGTTTCACAGATGATATCGGATATGTTCCTTATGTTGTAACTACAATACCCTTCCCTTTTCACGAATGTGACCTACCGAATTAGACTATTTACCGGATTTGTAATAATATAAGCAACACGACGGATGCCGCATGTGGAGCAGGATCTGCTTACCCTTCCGGAGCACCTGAGATCACCCCCAGTGTTTGGTTGGGTTCGTGTTGCTTAGTCTTTAGTTTTCTATGTTGTGTCATCTGTACTATTATTTGTCTATTTGTCTTTTTATTTTTGGCCATGGCGTTGTCAGTTTGTTTTCGATCTATGAGTTAGACTGTCCCTCTGGTATCTTTCGTCCCTCTTTTACTTAGAATAAATTGCACTTTCTAGTCTCTATTGTATTCTTATTTTTCAGTCCATCAGGATATAAGATATTTAGGCATCTCATTAAGCGACACATAGAAGTATATCAATATACATGTATATGAAGTGAAATACAAAAAATATTTTCTATTTGTTTTTGAATATAAATGTCTACTTCAGGTGTTACAAAAAGCAGTTGAAATGAAAGGGGATACAACTGATACCATTTATAATATCAACTTGCTAATCGTGGCTTTCGCTTTAGGAGAAGCTACTCGTATTTTTCAATATATGTATATATCTTTATTCTCATCACCAATACATAGGTACAGAGAAGACATGCAATAAATACATTACATTAACTACATAAACATAAATATGCA